TTTCAATTTTTCTTGCCTCAAAGGTGAAATAAGGTGGACCCACTCAGTCCGACCACTAATGATAACAGTAACAATAGCAGCTTGTTACTGGGAATAATAGGAATGTTGAGAAGTAATAACAACTTCCCAAAAGGAAACATCCCCCCCATTTAGGATCTTTTCAACCAGGCACATGGTACACACATGTAATCCTAGCCACTTGAGAGGCTAAGGCAGGAGGAGCCTAAGTGTAAGGCCAGCCTGGGAGACTTAGCTAGACTCTGTTTCATAATAAAATTGAAGGGCTAGGATGTGGCTCAGGGGTAGAGCATCCTTGGGTTCAATCCCCAGTACCCCCCCACACACACACACATACAAAAGGGATCTTCTCCAAATGAGGAAATTTCTGATCACCCTACTTGGCCTTGAGGATGCTGAACAGCCCCAGGGGAAATGGAAGAAGTGTGATTGATGGATGTATGAATTATACATCAGATTAGCTGAGTTTTACATGCCACATATGGTACAGGTATGAAGAGCATGCACTGGGCATCCAGATGAACCAGAATTCTCTGCGGAGGTCTTGGTATTTTCCAGGCATGTGACCTGGAGCAGTTAACTTCACCACATCTCAGTTTCCCCTTATGTAAGAAACAAATAAGAATAACACCTGTCTCATTCTGTGAGCTTTGAGTGAGCTGGCAGATGTTAAAAGTTTTAGGACAGTATCTGGTTCATAATGTCACTTAAAAACAAATGTTAATAGCTGCTATTGTTACTGTTATCATTGGGACTGAGTGGGTCCACCTTATTTCACCTTTGAGGCAAGAAAAATTGAAAAGAAAAAAAGATTATGGCCTCTTCAGTTTGAAGTAAAAATAAAAATTTTTAGAGGACTCTTTCATTCTTCTACATACAAATTTAATAAGTGTGCACAGATTCATGGAAAATAACTGTGGAAGTGGGCAGGGAGTATAGCAAATTATCTCACTCTCCAGGATCTTAGGACCTAGCTAAGACAGGTCCTCCTACAGTATCAGTGAGCAATAACAGGGTATAAGTGTCAAAAGAATGTCATTGGGCAGGATAAAGAAGGTTACAGTGTCCCATCCCACAGGACACATCAACGTGGGCAGTGAACCTAGATGGGGAGGAATGAAGGGACAAGGTGACAGCAAGACAAAAGTTCTGATCAAGCTGCAAACTTTTATTGTTCACACAGGGGTATTTATATGCTGGGGATGGGGAAGCTCTCTAATCAGCAATTGCTGGGTGGGTATTCATATGCTGGGGATGGGGAAGGTCTCCGCAATTGTTGGATGTGGGTGGTAAAACTGCCAGCTGCAAGATGTCTGATGATCCCGATAACCACAGGATGTTCCAGGGAGATAGGTAGCTGCAGGATGCCTCCCAGGTAGGATGTCTCCCAGGGGGCTGTCAGGTTAATCTTGGAAGGAGAATTTCCTTCTAGTCCCCGACACTACACAATAATGACAGCCAACTTAACACATTTACCAGAATTTATGTATCTGATGCATGAAACCTCATGAGAAACTGCATCTACTTAAAAAATTATTGTTTAAAATTTTCCATGCCTAAAATCAGTGTGCTTCTTTAGGAGGTATTTTGTCAGTGTCTATCCACTTGAAAACTGTATAGCTTTTGATGTAGTCATTCTACTTTTAGAAATTTGTTTTATAGATACATTCTCATAGGTGTGGGAGGAAATATAAAAATATTTAATGTAGTAACATTTATTTTACATTGTGAAAATTAAATCTTTTAAAGAGTCCTCTAAATAAACCACAGTAAATGTAAGTGATGCAATACTATGTAGCCTTTAAAAAGAATAATGTGGATATGTAGGATATCTAAGTGATACTATTTTCAAAATCAGGCTATAGAATAATACATATGGGGCTGGGGCTGTGGCTCAGGGGTAGAGCACTTGCCTAGCATGTGCAAGGAACTAGGTTCAATTCTCAGCACCACGTAAAAATAAAACAATGGTACTGTATCCACTCACAACTAAAAAAAATAAATAAAAAACAATAATAATACATATAGGGAGTTTCATATTAAAAATAAATTAGAGGGGCTGGGGTTAAAGCTCAATGGTAGAGCACTTGCTGAGCACATGTGAGGCACTGGGTTAGATCCTCAGCACCACATAAAAACAAATAAAAAGATATTGTGGGGCTGGGGATGTGGCTCAAGCGGTAGCGCGCTCACCTGGCATGCGTGCAGCCCGGGTTCAATCCTCAGCATCACATACCAACAAAGATGTTGAGTCCGCCGAAAACTAGAAAATAAATAAATATTTTTTAAAAAAAGATATTGTGTCCATCTACAACTACACAATAAAAAATAATAAATAAATTTAAGCTGGGCACAGCAGTGATGTCTGTAATCCCAGCAACTCAGAAAGCTGAGGTAGGAGGATCCCAGTTCAAGGCCAACCTCAGTAACTTAGAGAGACCCTGTCTCAAAATAAATAAATAAATCAAAAGGACTGGGGACATAGCTCAGTGGTAAAGCTCCTGGGCTCAATCCCAAGTGCCTAAATAAATAAATAAGAATTGAAGCCAGGCACAGTGGTGCACACCCGTAATACCAGCAACTTGGGAGGTTGAGATAGGAGGATTTCAAGTTAGATGCCAGCCTTGGCAACTTGGTGAAACCCTGTTCCCCACCTCCCCCCAAAAAGGAGGAGTGTTATTTCAATCCTCAGTTGCAAAAAAGAATTGATGTAGTATAATTTAGCTACTTCATATCTGACTATATTTCCAAAAGAATTGAAAGCAAAGACATAAAGGATATTTGTATACCATGTTCATGGAGACAGCCAAAAGGTGGAAGCAGTTCAAATGTCCACTGAAGAATGAATGAATGAACAAAATGTGCAGACCTACTATGGAATATTATTCAGCCTTTAAAAGGAAATTCTAACATGTGCTATAACATAGATGAGGACGTTACGCTAAGTTAAACCCAGTCACAAAGACAAAATCCGTGTTTCCCTTTATAGGAGATAATCATGGAGACAGAAAGTTGAACTGTGGCTGCCAAAGTTGGAGGGAGAGGAAAATGGGGACTTGTTCTTTAATGAGTACAAAATTTCAATTTTGCAAAGTGAAAATGTTCTGTTACATAAAATGTGAAGATACTGCACCATAACTGAACTGTGTTTAACTATGTTTATGGTTGTAAATCTTATGTATATTTTTCCCCAATTAAAAAAAATTAATGAATATTATGTGCCTGCTTTACAACTGTAGGAATTTCTGAAGAGTCTATTAACAGTGCATGTGGGTTTCTTTTTAATTGTGTAACCATTTTTACTTTTTTTTTTTGGACCAGGGATTAAACCCACGGTGCTTAACCACTAAACCACATCCCCAGACCTTTTTTTATAATATGTTTTGTTAGACACAGAGTCTCACTCAGGGTCTTGCTAAGTTGCTGAGGCTGGCTTTGGACTTTCAATCCTCCTGCTTCAACCTCCTGAGTTGCTGTGATTACAGGCCTGCACCACTGTGCCTGGCCCATTTTTACTATTTTAACATTTTTTACCACTCATGAGTTGTCAATTTAAAATGCCTGCAATAGTTTGATAGACTGTGATGAGCTTGTTAAGCGTCAGCGACAACATTCTCATTGCTGTGGGACCTGGGGCCAAATGAGCAGAAGAAACACGACCAACCATGCTGAGGTTTCCTTGGAGCACAGGCATACGTGGTGGCAAAGGATGCTTGGTGACAATGCAAAGATGAGGAGTTTTTGGTTTTGTTTTCCTAATGCAGCCAGAGGAGATTGGGGAAGTTCTGTCCAATTTCAGAGATTTTCAAAGACAGTCCAGAGTGTGTTTGGGTGACAGTGCAGACCATCTGCCAGGGTCCTAGAGAGGCGTCCTGGGGTGACACTTGAAGGCATGCTGGGCCAATGATGTGGCAGAGCTGAAGCAACCACCTGGGGCATTTAGATTTTGTCCTGAGGACAATGTGGAGCCAGGGACATCTGGAGCAGGAGGGTGTGAGGTGGAGGGTCCTGTTAGAGGACAGGTAAAATTGGGGACAGAAGAAAGAAGGAAACCAGGGCAGGGGAATGAGGTTCAGACTCTGTTATGCTCAAATTCGGGACCCCCAAAAGACCACCAGAGACCAAGATCGATGTAAGCAGCAAAGAGGTGTTTATTGCGAGCTAGCTCGGTCCTCCAAGTGTGCACAGCAACTGGTGACTCTGAGAGGCCCCAGCCCAGGGTTTGCAGCAGTTTTATACACTCTTTGGGGAAGGCAGGGACTTCACATACATCACAGCATCTCTTAGCAAATCATCACACACCGCGGGAAAATCATAAAACAACTCTAAAACATGATTAACACATTCACTGGTGGGAACAAGTTGGGTAAGGGTGATTGGTTAGTACAAGAGGGGGATTCATTTGAACTGGTTGGTTTAAACGACAAGGGGAGTACTTGCTGAACTACAGAGTTTCCCATTATG